GATCCTGGATGACACACAGGTGCATAACAGAGGTAGGGCATGACAGATGCTCTAGGAAAAAATCTGATATGTATGTTCATATCTTTATGATTTAAAAGAAAGAAACGGCATCGATGTAATGGCATATCACCAACATCGTCATCATCAACATCATAATTATCATCGTCAACATCATCATCTCCAAACCTAACCATCATTGTCTCAGTTGGCCCATTTCCTGGGCAAAATTGTCCTCAGTGTTGAATGCCAACGATACCAACAAAAACTTGAATGACATGCATCAAATGCTGCATGACAGACCTGTGTGAGAAACAAGAATAAAAATACAAACTTCCTTGGTTGATGTGTGCTGCTGTGACATGTGGAATTTAGATCTGATTGTTTATTAAAAGTATAATGAAGTGGAAATGAGAAAAAGTAAGAAAGAAATAACTGGAAAAGAATTTCCTATAGGTCATATAATTGTAAAAGTATTAAATAAGGATAAGAAGTAAAATGTCTAGATAGCAGGGGAAATGATGCACTGCTGATATGTAAAATATGTCTAAAAGAAGCATGTTGTGTTCATTACATGTATTGCCTGGTGCCGTTTGTAGAACAACTTCTTTCCTGAGTCAACCCAGTGCCTCTCACACCCCGTCTGCAACACCTGGCCTGTTGTGGGTGCTCAATAAATATCAAACAACTAAAGTACAAACTGTCTGCAAAGGTTGGAAATTCACAGGAATCAATCATATTGTTATCATTTAAAATTTATTGAGGGTCAACAACAAGACTCAACATGTGCAAATTGGTTATTTTATAATCACACATCACACAAACCATTAAATACAACTAGGTCAACTAGGTCTTTAGTTTTACTCCATTGAGTTTTTAAAGGTTAAATTGTTTCCTTAAAAAAAAATAACTGATATACCAGGAAATAGAAACACAATATTCAAATAAGTAGGGTTGTCTCAAGAAAACCATTTCTCTCAGATATCTTTAATAACACAACTACATGAAAAATCTTTAATAAATATATGTGACAGGTTCAAAATGATGTGCACGCACGAAGACCAAAGTGTCTACTGAAATAGATAAAGTTACGGCTCACATACTTTTTTCCACCTGCTGTTCTGACAAATTTCAAGGCTTTTACAATTATGTGGGTAACATTGATTTTACATCCAATCCAAAGAAAGACAGAAATCCTTCAGGTTCATATAAATTAGACTGCTCGTGAGTGTTGAAACATTTCTACATCTAAAGCTGGATTCCTTATTAGAGAAAGTTAACTTTGATAGAGTTTAATCTATACTCTGTAATTTTAACCTTCATAAATTGAGTAAGTTTACTCAAATCCATGTTGTTAATTAATTGGAAATCAGACTCTGTTTGTAAAAAATTATTAATCAAGTTTTAGATTAACTGGGTTGCGAAGTCATATTTATTTTCTAGGAGGATGAACACTACTTAATAATTCTGTGTTCGCCCCTTTAAACTAACTTTGAGGTATTGTACTGTCTATAGCATTTAAGATTACATGATATGATTTTATTGCAGTCTTATAATTTAAAAATGAGAGGCTTTCTAGACAAGCCTTCCAAAAAAAAAAAAAAAAGAACCAAAAAACACATACACACATTTATTCTCACGTAAGACATACTCCATCTGACAACTTCGTTTATCAGATCTTTGTCATTTGAAAGAAGTATTAGCATTTTTAGTTCTCTAATTTTATAAAATGTTTTAAGAGAGAAGATAAGGCACATTTTACTGAACTTGGCACATGACTTGGCCTAATTAAACAATTATTTAGCTTTCTCTATCATTTTGCCACGTTGAGAAATTCACATTGACATGCTTGCAAGCAATAAACTTAACAATTTCCAAATAAGTGTCCAGCTTTGTTTATTTTGCAGGACTTCTTAAGAGAAAGAACCAACTGCATATGAGAGCTGATTGAGTGGATGAATTAAAATGATTTTTCTTCTATTATTTCTACTTTTAAATTGAAACAGGAAAGGTTTCAATTTTCAACTTCTTAAATAATTGCCTACCTTCAGTGTTTGAACTTTGATTTATATAATATTATTTTAGTTTCACAATGCTTTGGATCTGGGTCACAGTATTGAAATCTAGGTCTGCTAATATTCCTTTCTTGACATTTTTTTCTGTGTTTGCAATCAACCAACCAATATTTATTGAGCACACACTGTTGCTAGGCCACAGTGATAGGCTCTTAGAACAAATTATAAAGAAGATATTCAATAATGTCATGGACCAGAGTGAGTGACAGAAATAAAAAACAATTTGCAAATGACTAACTTGTAGCTATTTTCCCTGTTGCAGAGTAAATTACTCCAGGCTTACCACTGAGGCCTAAAAAGTTGTCTTAATTGGTCTTTTCCTGTACCTCACAATGATTTAGAATGGCTGTTTTATCTCTCCCAACTAGTACTAAGCAAAATGCTTCAATCAGTTCCTTTTGAAGAAGAAAGACTGAAAGAAGTGGGATTTAAGACTGCAGGTCTATTTTGAAAAAGAACAGCAAAAAGCAACAACAACAACAACAAAAAAAAAACCACATCTAAAGTCAATTAATTATCAACAAATGAGCAGTTCTCCATAACGAGCATTACATCAACCAACTATTAAACACTGTCTCAAGACACAGTGAATGAATTGAATTATAGTGTTGTCTCTGTGCGTGGCAACACACACGTGACATTTTTATCTTTGACACACTTGTTATTCTAAACATAGCCATATCAGGTGTAGAAAACATGTAGTAAGTGTGTATGTGTATGTGTGTGTGTGTGTGTGTGTGTGTGTGTGTGTGTGTGTGTGTGTTCCTAATTAAGTGGCTATTAAATGTAAGGATATACAAAACCTTAGTCCTCAAACCTATAATCTGGCCAACATAAGATCTGTATGAGAAGAATAAAAATAACATTATCCGTCCTAAATAAAATGAAGTAGCATCTTTTTTTTGAGTTCTTAGAGCTTGGGCCTTCTAGTCTCCTTCATGCATGTGATGAGTCTTTTTTTTTTTTTTTTTAAATTAGGCTCACTGGAAGTTAGTTCCAACTTTGCCAAAAATGTATTGTCCACTGAGTTCATGCGTTCATTAGTACTTGGGGTGCTCCTTCACCCCAAGGAGGTCAACGTGCACAAATAGATTCAGACCACACAGCACATTGAAATTGAATAAAAATTATACAAATCATGATTTTTTTTCCTTATAGGTATTCACAAGCTAAAACTTAAATGAATGAAAAGGCATCTATGACAATATTTAATTGTTCTACAGTGTATTACGAATTCATTTTCTATACTGGATGTTTTTGAAGTTAACTAAAACTACATAAGAGAGAAAAGACAACAGAGTTCTAAAACATCTTCTTTGAAATAAATGTTAGAATTCTATCATGAAACATATGAAGCAAAGCCAAGATTTTTACATGCGAACTTTCTGCTTTGCTCATGTCTTAATATACCTATTTTTCCCATCAGCTACTTGTCGTAAGTATATCACCACAAAGGCAATGTGTTTAAATATATCATTCTCTTCCATGTTTATATTTTAATATATGAGAGGACACAGCCACGCCTTGAAAACTGATATGTTTTGCAATTACCCTAGCAACAATATTTTGTAATATAAAATTGCATTTTGTTTTTATATAAGCCCACAAACCTGAGTTTTCATAAGATAAAATGCAATTTTAATAAAATTTTAGTAAAAAAGTCATCTGAAACAGTATGTTCCCATCCTAATGAGCCATTGCCCATTTGAGGAAAGGTCATTGCGTTAATGAAAGTGGCACTTTCAGAGATAGACAGTCAGTGTTCCTATCAGTCATCTTTGGCACCGCTGTCCCTACTGCCCTGCTCTCCATTATTAGTCAGTCTACCTTTAACTTGCTGTGGAGCTTTCAAAGCATCCTCGTAGGTAGGGATACTGCTCGATTGTGCAATGCTTGCCTGGCATGCTTGAGGCCCTAAGATCAATCCTGAGTTCCAAAATTAAGCAAAAACAAGGCAAGTTCTGATAAGTAATTGTTATGACTAGAGGACAGAGAATTATGAAGAACAGTGGATTAACATGTGCTTTGGTAAGTTATCAAAAGTGTTTCAACAAAAAATTAAGTATATATGCTATAAAATAATTTATAATTTGTTGCATACTTCACAAATATTATTATTTGGGCTACATAATATCTTGTCAAAGAAGCAGATTGGGAATTATCTTCATTTCAACTAAGAAATTTAAATCATGAAAGCTGCATAAATGAATAAGCTAAAATACAATCCTGTGTTTGTGATTTATATCACAATATCACTTTCAATGTCTTAAGACGGTGTTAAAGAGCATACTTAAATCATATTCTAGAGCGATTTGGTGATAAAGCTATATATGTATGTGTATATATATATATATATATATATATGTATGTATTTCATGACTTTATGATGTATAACATTAAATTTTCAGGCCTTTTGGGTAAATCAACAAGCAAAATCATTACATAAACTATAATAATTTTTTGCTGTCATTGTCCTCAATATCTTAACATAACACATTCTTTCTAAAGCACTATAAATTTATTTATCATAAATAGGATTGAATCATGTTTATTCTTTGAACTATGATCTGTGAGGTGGTAGGGAAACCAAAAGACCAAGTGAAAAAAAGAAAAAAAAAAAAAGATGTCTACCAGTTCCCTAGCTCATCCTCTCAATAGCAGTCCATGTCAGCATCTCTGCTGATGTAATAAAGCAGTCTCACAGATTCCCTGTTCTGAATTCATACCCAAAGCTTTATAAACAAAAGAAGAACAAGGCCAGATCGTTGCTTCACTTCCTCCCTGTCCACAAAAACATGCAAGGACATTGCTATGGAGCAAGAGATTTAAAGGTTATTGTCTTCTGCCTGTCTGAATCCAGTGTTTTCCTCCTCATGTTGTTTTCTTTCTAAAGAAGATAATGTCAACCTGCTTCACTTTTTTTTTTACCTTGCTCCACTGTCTTGGCTTTTTCTTCTTTCTTTCCGTGCACAGCTGCAAGGCAAAGATAAGGTTTAAATAAGAGTTCCAGCCTGAAATGTTTATTCTGCACATAAAAGCATTTGGGAATGCATTCAACAGCAAATATTGCTTCTAAATAAGCTACTCTCTAATGCTTTTAAAGATATTTCTCATCTCTCTGTAATACAATTGAAATCTGGTTTGAATCTAATCTTAAGGAATTAGAACCAAAAAAGAAAAGCAATAATCCCTTCAGTTTCCAGGCCGATTCTTCCACACTCTTTTCTACTTTATTCCTTTATACTGTGCTGTGATAAACAAGCTGCCAAGAATTGAACTTGACAGGACTGTGATTAATTGACTTACATTTCAGCTTATTGCTGGAGTCACTTAGTGTCTTACAAATGTCAATGAGATCCTCCTTAAAATACAGACTTAGCAAGTCTTAATCGACAGAAAAGACCCATTCTGTCATGACTGAGATGCATTTAAATATTAAATGAAACCCATCCCACAACACAAGTAGGCAAAAGAGATAATGGCATCATTTAAAGGACTGTGTCCTGAGTCAAGCTTTCTCTAAGATGTATTGCTCTCAGTGGAAGCTTTGCTGTTTACCTAGTTAAACATGAAATGAGGGAGAAATTTTCGTATGAAATCAGTGCCTGCAGCTGAAGCAGCTGATTCGAGAAAGAATCTTCTGAGAATTTGAGCAACAGCTAGATGAAGAACTGATGCGGAATTGAATAATGTCATCAAGACCAGCTCTACAGAGAGTCGTAAAGGGAAAAATGCAACTTTAAAATGAATAATTGAGTCTGCTATCGGCTTTACTCATTTTGGAAACAGAAGTGTTTATTCACTGGTGCCTCTAGAGAGACACTGCTTCTTGGTGAGAGAACGCACAAAGTATTGAATATTCTGTAGCCTTCTTGTCAAAGCATCTAAGTGCAATTCAGTAAAGTCAGAGGTTCAGCTTTCATTTTAATCAAATGCAGGGTGTAATGAGCATGTTAAACAATATTAGGAAGAAAGCATCAGCCACATAAAAATACCCATTTTCAACTTTCTATGAAGAAGAAAGGAAGGAAGGAAATGTGGGAGAAAGAAAGGAGGGGTATAAGTAAAAATGAAGAAAAATAAGCAAAGGAAAATGTGTTGAATTTCATCAGTTGATGTTTCTGCTACAAAACACCCTATAGTTTGAACATTTACTTATTAGATATGTTAAAAGTAGGCTTTAAGGAAACATTGTGTTCTAACCCAAAAGTGGAGCTCTTGGGTGAGGAAACTTTTAGCTCAAATCAAATTAGAATTTCTGAGTCTAAGAAATCTCACTTGTACAGAAGGCTTCTGAATAGGTAGCAATTCCTGAACTTCCAGGGGGACACCAGGGAGGGTTATGATCTTATTTTCCATTCTTATTATACCATAGTCATGCTAGGTTAGGACCATCCCAGGAGGATGGGAACTCTCTTCTGTCTAGAACAAGAATGTTATTGTATATTTACAATGACACATTCTAGAAGTTGAACTGCACAAAGAAAAGAACCAAGTGGTTTGGATTTTTGTTGCAAATTGTACAGGGGGTCAAGTATCCCAGGAGAATGAGCAAGGCTCTCAAGTATGTATTTCCATACTGTCATATTAATACTGTTGCAATGATGTCACATTATCTAATCTTGAGCCTTAATATTTATGTGATAATATGCATAATTCTAGTGTGTTAAAACAATGAAAACTTTATCAGTTCTGCCAAGTACAAGGTAGGTAGACGTAAACTCTTTCATTTTCTCTTTACATCCCTTCTCACACACAGAAGAAATTCTATTAATTTTTCAAATGTTACTTAAGGATGTAACGGATAATTAATTAAAGCAAGAAATAGATGAATCCGACAAAGCTAAAAACTAAGCAGGACTACATTAATGCATATTGAAATAAAATGATAGGAATCCTCCAAGAGAGACAAAAAGAGGAGACATATATAATAATTTAACAAGCATGAATGACTGAGTAAATTTTCAAGTAAATAAAATTAGATTTTTAAAATAAAAAAATTACAAGAATGGAGAAACAACCATATTTTGGAAAAAAAAAAGTGGCTCAGAAACTGAGAGATAAATACCCTGTAAGTACAGGGTTCCTAAAGGGAAGGCTGCTTAAATTTACATCGTTTCCTCAGACTGTTACCAAAGTTAACTTAAGATTTTTTATTTCCTTACCCAAGCTTGCTGGGTGTACATCTTTTTTTAATTAAATTTTTATTTATTTATGTTAACTACAGTTTATTTACTTCATATCCCAGCTGTAGCCCTCTCCTTCATTCCCTCCCAATCCTACCCTCCCTCTCTCATCTCCTCCCTGCCCCTCTCCACTGATAGGGGAGGTCCTCCTCCCTTTCCATCTGTCCCTAGCTTATCAGGTCTCTTTAGGACTGGCTGTTAATGTCCTCCTTTGCAGCTTAGCAAGGCTGCTCCTCCCTCGGGGGGAGGGGGCAGGGAAGTCAAAGAGCTAGCCAATGAGTTCATGTCAGAGACAATCCCTGTTCCCCTTACTAGGGAAACCCACTTGGATGCTGAGCTGCCATAAGGTACCTCTGAGCAGGGGTTCTAGAAGCAATAAAGAAACCACAGAGAAAACCCTGGAGCTGGTATACATCTTTAATACTAGCATTTGGAATGCTAAGGCTTGAGAATTGAGGTTAAGGTCAGCCTAAACTACATACTGAAAACCTATGGAACAAACAACCTAGCAAAATTACTCAATTACTTAATTAGTCAATCAATTAGTTGATAAATGAATGAATGTGCACATTCTAGTACTATTTGTTCTAGGAGCAACAAAAAGCCTTTGCAACACTGTGGTTTGCGTGAGACTCCAATGGAACCCCTTTCTCCATCAGATAAGTTACATGTAACCCACTCCTCTGCCTGGAAGTTTCATTTGATGACAAGAGATGGCCAGTTTGGGCTCTGTCTCCTCCTTTGTTTGGCAATTTCATTTACAGCTCCATCCTATATGTCTATAATTTAGAAGCTTCTACTGCACTAGGTCGCCATACTACCCCTCAAATGGCCCTTCATTTAGCTTTCTCTCCATGCTTTACTTTCCTTGTGCCCCTCCTCCCTCATACATCTTTCTGGTGAAGGTGTCTATCCCTTTAGTAGTTGTTGCTGTAGCTACGATAACTTCCATTTTCACTGATTTCAGCTCCGGCCTCTGTAGCTTTCTAATAGAGAACTCCCTAGAAATTTTACATACTTTCTGCACTAAATTGAGACTGCTGAAGTACCCACTGTCAAGAACTGGGATGCTACCAGGGTCTCTGTGTACCTACCATGTCTTCATTGGCATTGCTGTACTCCCCAGTCTTTATAATGTAACCTACACTAGTGAATCTCCATTTACAACAC